CACCTTTTTTTTCGGCAGACGTTTCACCCGTATCATTGGAATGATACAGCCCTCAGTCAACAGATGTTTCACCTGTGTCATTGGAATCACATAGCCTTCAGTCGACAGATGTTTCACCTTTTTTCGGCAGATGTCGACATAAGTTTCACCTGTGTCATTTGAATGACACATCATTTTTCGTCAGAAGTTTCCCCTGTGCCATGGAAATAACACGATCTTTTTTCGGCAGAGGTTTCACCTGTGTTATCGGAATGACACAGCCTTAAGTCGACAGAAGTTTTATCTGTGTCGTTTGAATGTCGTAGTGATCCTTATCTGTCAATATTATATACATTATAGCTCATGTTGCGCAGGCTATTTCCAAAGGTATGTGCGTAACCTGCATGGTTATGCAGGTTACGCACATATACATTGTACACTATATAGGTCGAACTTATAGACTATATAGGTCGAACTCCTCCCGTTAGTGTTAGACTTACGGTTGGGGGTTAGGGTTAGTTTAGTTTTAGTGGCCAAGGAGGTTACATGAATGAACTCTATTACACTAACAATTGTACATGGTACAATGTATGGCAGCGTGAACAATACAATACAAACAAGTCTATGTATACTAAGAGACTACTTAACTACAGGAATATGAACGTAAACGGCGTATGACATGATGTGCGTTAGGCGTTGGTATCTGTTATAATACTTTCTCTCTATTATGCACTACATATCAGTACATATATATTGGCCTTAAAGTACGTAGATATAGAGTCGGGGCATGACATAAGTAGATTGAAAATGTCTATGTTTGTCTTTGGGAGAGGTTTACCAGCTTTACTTGTGATCAATTTCATTAATTTTTGTCTATCTAAAGTATTTGCAGGACAGGTCATTATGAAATGCAATTCGTTTTCAACGCCTTTATGACACGAGGGACACAGTCTCTAATTCGGGCTGGTGTGTTACAGTGGCGACCTTTTCCATTGTAAAGAGTGGGCACTAATCCTAAGTTTTGTTATGCTGTTTCTGAATGATTTGTTTTAAATTGATAAAAGATAGTTCAAACAGAATTGGGTTTTAATTTTGCAGTAGGTATCGAGTTTGGTAAGACTTTTAATTTCTTGTCTCCAGCAAGAGAGAAACGTGTTTTGTAGACGATCTTTTAAGATATGTCCAAACTGGTTGGTATTAACGGAAGGATTTAACCATATATTTTGAAATCCGTGCCTACAAATCATGTCCTGAACATGGACAGCCCAGTCTTGTTGTAGTTCAACGGAACAGGTTATATAAGCTTTTATAACGATCCTGTCGTTCGGTAAACTACTTCGGTAGGCGAAGCCAATATTTTATTAACTTAATGTGTTTGTGAATCGAGGTATAATGGGAATACCCCAAGTTCACCCCTGACGGTGGCGTTAACGGAGCTTCTGGGCACGCCAAGTGCTATTTCACAATTTAAAAGTACGAACTCCAGATCGGGGGATTTTCATCCTGGATATTGTTGGTTGTTTGATTGTTATGTTCATGCAAGGACGTTACACACAACGTCCTTGGTCCATGTCTTTTGATATGCGTGATTGATATAAGATATTTAGTTTGTCACTGTATTTTTTTAATCGTACCACCCCATGTCTCAGGTATATAGGAAACTCCCAAGTAGTATCAGAGTCATGTATTTGACAGGATCATGTATTTGGTTTCACCCCGGTAGACGTACGCGATACGTAAGGTTAGAGGTGTGACCCGGAAACAAATGGGAAACTGGGCGCCACGAAACCCCCATGCGGTTGGTATAATTGGCCAAAAAACATGGCGGAAACCTCGGAAAATCTGAGAAAGGCCTAACTTTGACGTTCTGAACGTTGTTTCTTGTTTAAGGCACAGTCAATTCGTGAACGCCTGGCGGTGGTCTGACTTGTTGGGAATACGGGGATACATTTCATGGCCTGTTTTGGTGCACCGTGACTGAACTATGTCATTTTATATATACCATTCAAATGCATCATTTCGGCGCGTAACATGCCTTTCAGGACCACCATCTTGAAATTTACCCACCATGCAACAGTAACTTGCCAACTGAAAACCGAACTTTCTTTGGTCTGCCCTCACCAAGGACAGTTTTATACTGTATACAAAGTAAAGATATCCCCGGGAGAATAATAATCATTTGGACTCTATAGAGAGGTTTTGTAGCTAACATAGTCCTAGTAGCCGGCTCTCTTCCAGGCTGCAGGAGCTCTTTCCTAATCTCCAAGCAGATGTTTCGGTGGCTGCAAAACAGTATCAAATTGGCCAGACAGTATCAAATTGGCCAGACAGTATCAAATTGGCCAGACAGTATCAAATTGGCCA